AAAAAAAAAAAGATGGAGATTTTACAAAGGCAAAATCAGCATAAGATTAATGGCATCAAGAGTAAAACTACCTTTTTCAAAAAAAAAAAAAAACTAGCATTGATCTTGAACCCTTCATACCTATCCTAAAGAGAAGACAGGAGGTAGGGCATCTGAGAGCATAGCTGCCACATTTACCTTGTGGCCTCTTTAGAGAGATATGGAGATAGAAAATGAGATTAGAGGAATAGAATACTAAAAGAAAGAGCAGAAACAATATCATTTTGAGTTTTTAGTGCTGCACCTATAGATGTTTATTGATGAAAGATTGGAACCTTGTCTTAATGAAGGTTTAGTGTCAGTTCCCTTTTACAAAATTTTCATCTTCTACTTACCTTCACAGTTCTAGTTGATTTGATTAATACAATTCCATTGTCTTAATATCAAATAAATTGGATGGGGATTTAAAAATTTTTTCATTCTTTATCTTTTCTTATTTCACTCTACAAAAATTACTGAGAGTCTGTTCCAAACAGGTAGCTTTGATCTCCACCTTGGTTGGGCCACATGTTACAGCCGCTGCTGCTCAGGCCACAGTCACTGCACTTTCTGATGAAACTTCATGTCCAAGAGAGATATTAGGTGTTGATGACAATAATATAATTAATGGGTTACAGTCTCAACCTATGTGCTCTGAGACTGGGAGGTAGTTAATTTTTCATTGTCGTTTCTTTGGTTGATGCTCCTAATTTATACTTAGTTCTTCCATCTTTATGGGAATTTTTAAAGTTTTTACAACTTAAATGTGTTTTAGATTGCATAACCATGAAGATCCAGAGATCAAGAAGTCTGCTCTCACGGGTATTCTGTACAAACAAACATCCATCTTTCTGTTAATAGATTGCCATTTGATTTTAATATTACCCTATTCTAAATAATTGTCTATTGTCTTATGAAAAATGAAATTCAGAAAGTCAGGAGACATCTGCAAAGAAGGATGTGCTTTTGCCGTTGCAAATTAGAGCTGCTGTTGCAACTGGTCTTGGAGCGGCTGCTGCTCATGCTAAATTATTGGCTGAGCAGGAAGAAAGGGACATTGAACATTTAGTTGCGACTGTGATTGAGGCACAGGTGGATCACAGTTTTCTATTTTGTTTTTCTTTTTACTTTTAGCTTCGATTTTAGCAGGTTGTGGTCCCTAATCATTTTCTTTTGTGTGAATTCAGTTGAAAAAATTGCACTCTAAAGTCAATCATGTTGAAGATCTGGAGCTGATAATGGAGAAGGAACATGCTGCAATGGAGGAACTAGAACATCATGTCATAGGAGAGAGGATCGGAGTCTTAGAAAAGGCATTTAATGCCGGTATATCTAAATGGAAAGATCTTACCTCTTTAAAATCACAAAGAAGCAATGTATATTGATGGAGTTTCAGATCAATCTTAAGCAGCAGAAAAGATGATGATATTAACTGGAGACTCGTAGGTTCCCGGCATAGACTTTAGTTTTAACTTGTAAGCAGTGTCATTTCCTATTAGAAACGACTGTAGCATTGTTAAGCTGCTATTGTAGTTAGGCTTTTTTAATTTCATTTTTTATGAGATTAGCAATATCTTTCATATTTTTTTTCATCATCGATATTATAATTGTTTAATTTAATTAAAATTGTTGTTATAGGTTAAAATCTCATATTAATGCTTATTGGACTTCTTACCGAAACTCATTACAATATTCATCAATTAATATGGGAGGTAGTTATTTACGTTGGAGGGAAAAGAAAAAAAAGGGACAGAGATCTGATGACGGAGAATGAAAAGAAAAGAACAAGAAAAAATCAAATGTTTTGATATTAAAAATATTATGATATTTAATAATAATTATATTATAAATTTAATAAAATTATGACTTATATTATATTTTACATATTAATGGTTATAATTAGATATTCTGACATTTTTTTAATATTAAGGCATTTTGATTTTTCATTTTCTCTTGATATATATATATATATATATATTTCCGAAGGAAAGGGGGGACTCAATTGGCGGCTATAACTATAACAATCCTAAGGTAGCAAAATTTCTTGTTGAGTAAGTTTCGACTTGCACGAAAGGTGTAACAATCTGGGCATTATCTCAGAGAGAGGCTCAGTGAAATAGATATGTCTCTGAAGATGTGGACTACTTCCACTTGAACAAAAAGACCCTATGAAGCTTCACTGTTCCCTAGGATTAGCTTTGGGCTTTTCCTGCACATCTTAGGTGGAAGGCGAAGAAAGCCTTCTTTTGGGGGGGCCCGAGCCATCAATGAGATACTACTTTGGAAGAGCTAGAATTCTAACCTTGTGCCAAGACCTATGGGCTAAGGGACAGTCTCAGGTAGATAGTTTCTATAGGGTGTCGGTATCCCAAAATGTAACTGAGGCCTTGAGCTAGACGGAGATTGCCTCTTAAGTGCAAAGGTAGAAGGGCACTTGACTACAAGACCTACTTGTCGAATAGGGACAAAAGTCGACCTTAGTGATTTAATGGTGCTGAGTGATTTGATGGTGCCAAGTGGAAGGACCGTCGCTTAATGGATAAAAGTTACTCTAGGGGTAACATGTTGATCTTCCACAAGAGCTCACATCAATGGGAAGGTTTGGCACCTTGATGTCGACTCGTCGGCACCTAGGGTTGTAGTATGTTCCAAGGGTTGGGCTATTTTCTCGTTAAAGCAGTATATGAGTTAGGTTTAAAACATCATGAGATAGTTTGGTTCATTTTTGGTGTAGGTGTTGAAGCATTGAAAGGACCTTTCTCTAGTACAAGAGGACTGGGAAGGATGCACCTCTGGCGTACCAATTATTGCGCCCATAGTAAGTGATGGGTAGCTAAGTGTGGAGTGGATAACTGTTCAAAGCATTTAAGTAGTAAGCCCACCCCAAGATGAATTTTTTCCTATTCTAACTTCCCTAGAGCTTCCAGTGGCACAGTTGAGACTACAACAGGTTCTCTGTCCCTACGGGAATCAAGTGACAAAAGTTGAGAATTCAAGAGAAGGTCACAATGAGACTAGTTGTTTACCATTACGATAGGTGTCAAGTGGAAGTGCAACAATGTATGTAGCTGCGGCATCCTAACAGACTAGTAGACTTGGACCTTGTTCCTAGATGACCTGATCAATTCAATCAATTAGGTACTCGCCATCTATTTTGATGGTTCAACTCTTTGACAACATGAAGAAACCAAAAGCTTTGCATCCCTCTCTATCTATCCATGGGATGGAAATGGAAAGGTAGAGGCCTTTAGTGTCCCTCTAATCAAGAAATGGGGCCTTACAATCACTAGCAAATATGCTTTTCCTTTTCTCGCACACCTTTCTTTGTTCTTGGTTCAATATTTTGGTGTCCTAGGCATAGAGGAACAACACCAATCCATCTCAAACTTGGTGGTTAAACTCTATTGCAATGATGATATTGTATGGGAGGTCCCATAGAAAAATAGCTCCACACCAAGATGATAAAAAGCTTGAAACCTCTCATTCTTATTTCTTTTTCAATATGAAAAAGAAAAAAATGAAAAATGAAAAGGTTGTCTTATTCAAAACCCTAATTATGAAATCCCCTCTCTCTCACTTCACACCTTAGAGTGCATCATTCTTATAGAGAGAAAAGTGCTCTCACATCTTAACCTGAAATGGTTGGGGAGGGAAAAAGCTCCTTTTTTAGGAGACTCTTAGGAGTGGATTTAAGAGCAGATTTAGTGGAGACGAGGTGAGGCTTGTAGCTCAGAGAATCAGAGCACATAGCTATTGTAATACCCCAAAATTTTGTGCTATTTTAGCATTTAAGTAAGGGTTTTTGTGTGAGAAAAGATTGTTTTGGGGCCTAATGTGAATATTTCAAAA